CTCAGAATTTAGCTTTGATGATGATAAAAACTGGATTCAACTGCCCAGCTTATCTAGTACATTTCAAGAAAGGACATCTCAAAAAAGCATAGTCAGAGAGTTTTGAAGGGGCTGGATTTAGGCGGGGTAATGTTAATTTTAAACCTGAAGATGTTGTGTTGCAATTTGCTTATTGGATAAACCCCAGCTTGGGCAGTAACTTTATTATAATAATTTCTAACACCTTTTAACCCCATAGGATAATAGCTATAAAGCAATATTATGAATGGCTATATAACTAAAAAATTAGCATAATTAGAGTATAAAAGAACACACACGTCATAGTAATCTTCGGGAAGACGAAACAGAAGGGTCATTGCTGTTCCATACCCCACGGATCTCTCTTACTCTCTGTAAGAGTGAGACCAGATCCTGACTGAGGGGCTTCCACCGGTATCCTTCGAGCAGCCCAGTTCAGAGACGTCTGACTTCGCTGATTCAACTTGCCATGCATCTTCTAACCGAGGGACTACCGATAAGTTACTAACCAAGTAAGAACTCTTGGTTAATTTCTTTATCTGTTTTATTATCACTGTCAATTTTAGTCTGTACTGTTATGTTGTCTGCTTATTAACTTAACCTTTTTATTAACTATTATATATGCAAACTATATCTTTTGTTGTCATAAGTAAAATTCATTCTTTTTTGTGAGTGAAACTTGTCATTTCTTTCCTTTCCAACATCACCTTCTCGATCCCGAACCAAACAGCCCAGTGGCTAATAAAGTTGCAGTGCTCAGTTAGTCTGCAACTAAATTGATATACTCACAGTGCCCAGCTAGCCTGTGACAAGTGGTCTACTAAAAGAATAGCTGGAATTGGTCATATTGGTCTATATCTTATGTTGTTGTATAGAAAACAAGGTGACAACAACAGCAACCAAAACTAAACCACTGCAGAAGAACTGGTTAGACAGGTAAAAAGCCAAGCAACAAAAAGGCAATAGAAAGTCAGTCTGAATGATCACACCAGACACCATTGCCAAAATTGTTACATGAAAATCCGCTATAAGAATTAAGAGACAAGAGTGTAAGATGGAAAAAGGTCTTCTTATAAAAGACAATATATGATATGAGAGGAAGGATGTTACAGTGCTGGTTTCGCACTCGAGGTGTGGGACTGCAGGGACATCGGGGGGGAGGGGGCAGTTGCACCCTGTTTTGATTCCTGGTTCACCTAAAGTTTAAAACCAACTGTCTGGGAGTAGCAGCTGCATTTCTATCCAGGCAGTAGCAAGAGAATCAGTTGCCTTCATGGCAACTAAACAGTTAATGACAAATGTTAACAATGTTCTCTCCTTTTTAATGGTCTTGATGTTCCACTAATCAAGATATCCTTTCTTCTACATTTCTGCTGTCTGTTAGCTACTCCAGGTAATGCAGCTCCTACTTAACAGTGTTGCAGACTGTTTTTAACTCTAGTGAAAAATATTAACTGATGTGAACATTAACTCAGGTGTGGCAAAACTTTCAGCACTGGATGCACTACCCAGATGCTCAAGGCTAGATTTTGTTTTGTGAATCTGAAAAAAAAAATCTACATTTAATGCTAGTAACTACAGGACTAAAGAAACAGCATCTTTTGATTACTGTTGCCTAGTTCATTGTTTTTTGTGCATAATAGCAAATTAATGAACATTCCAAAAAAGTTGCATAGGTTTTGCTTTGATTTTAAATAGAATAATAATAGCCCTGACCCCCTAGCATATTAGTAAAGCATTTCAGAATTTCTCTCTAAATGGAGAAAAATATGGGAGGATGCACCACACCATCTGTACCCCGTTTTCAAAATCCCAGCTCTGCCCATGTGTGGAACCACTTCCTTGTTCTTGTGTGATCCTCAGTAAATTGGTTTCCCTCTGTGTCTTGTTTCAACATATATAAAATAGAAATACCGTAATAGCAATTCCACACCACAGAGGCTTGTAAAGAGAGAGATCTTAAAGATGAAGATGATATGGGTACTTAATTTAACATAACAGGCTATTAATTTTAAGTGCTTCACTGATACTCTTGACAACAATATTATTTCCAAAGTAATTAATATTTTTATTAATCATTTCAACTGGATATAAAAGTAGTATACAAATAACAGTATATCATATGTTACAACATATTTTAATGTCCCCAAGTAATGAACAGTTTAAATCAGATAAAATTCAGTATTACCCAGGTTCAATATCTATACAACACGTACAATTTATAACATTTCATAATGCCTATCCGTGTACAAAGAGCATGGGGGGAAAGAAACATTCTCCGTTCCTTGGACTCAGGGTTCGTTTGTATTTATGTTATTAAAGCCTGTATTCCAACAATCCGTGCAGGGAGAGAGGTTAACATTCATAATTCTAGAAAAGGGCTTCTTGTATTTTCTCTCATTCATACATGCTACCATTTACCTTACTAAAAACTTGGAAGCAATTTTTTTTTCCAAATGTAATAAGCATTAATTGGTAGAGTGGCTTTCTTATTCAGAAATAATGGAAGCCAATGCAAAGGTTATATATATTCTGAAGTTACTGTAACTATATAGAGCAGTAGCACTAAAACACTTACGACCAGTCAGAACAGAGGATGCACCAAAAGTTGACAATTTGAACTGGAAAAGAATGGAAAGGTGGGAATGCATATAGAAGCAATGCAAAAGTCCAAGAATGGTGCCACCAAGCTTCATATTATCAGGTCTCTGCAATTACTCTCAACTTCCACAAAAAGGCCAATCTCAGCCCCAGCCTGCCCATAATGTTAACTATTCCCAACCACCATCATAAATTCCATTAAAGGCAAGGCGCAAACTAGAGGTACTCAAGGACTGAGCTCTATGCATGCTCACAGTGTGGAAAGTAAAGCAGCTTGTGAGATTGCCTTTTCCTCCCCCACAGTGACCAGTTTCTCTCACTAGAATGAACGCCTGTATGCAGAGGTGTTTCCTCACAGCTGAACTCTTGTGCTATGGAGGAGTCCAGCTGAAACTTCTCGCAGAGCAGCTCTCACTTCCTCAGGCTGGGGTGACCCCAGTGCCATAATGAAGGGGCGCCAACAAGTGCTGCCAGTCGGTGCGAAGCATGGGACAGAGCCACGAGTGGCTTGTTTGGATGAGCATGGGGATGAGGGGAGGGCAGCTCCCACTGTTGCACGCACCCCTGGGCAAGTATGGGAGGGGCACGTGCCCCCCAAATCTGTGCGCAGGGTGAGGGCAGGCTGCTGCTGCGGGCTTTGCCCTGGGCGCCAAACTTCCTTGCAACAGCACTGGGTGACCCTGTCTTGGAAAGGCATAGGGAGCTGGAAAGAGGGGGCATCTGCAGACCGGAACACTTGTACTCTCCCTCTCTAGGAAAAATTTCAGCCACCACAAATCTCCCAGAAATTTTCAGCAATAGAAATGAATGCCTGTCCGTGGCCAGTATCTCCAAAAAGCTTCCCCATCAGCTCTATTCTTACCATTTTTATCTAAAAGAAATGTTGAATCATGAAGTAGAATCTAGAGTCATCACTTTCAAAACTGGATGATTCAAGTCTAAAAGCCATATTTGGGCAGTGAAATCAGATACCCCAAATTTTAGAAGTGTAGCTTCCCATTGTTATCTAGTAGAGTTTCAGAAGAAGTCAGATCATTTATTCAGCTTGCTAAATATGGCTTCAGAAACATAATGTTGAGCATCCAGTTTTGAAAATATTAGCCTAGGCCCATAAAGAAAGACACAATATTTGAAACATCATAATGCAACAAAACATGTAAGAAAAAAGTTAAAATGATTGTCTCGATTTTCATTTTGGTTTTCTGCAAATTAATGTTTTGAAATTTCACCAGTCCTCAATATATGTCTACATCTGCCTGTATAATGCAAACTTATCTACACACATAAACACACACATAAGAATGATGGAGGTAAACAAGCAAGCTTCCATGTTTACTTGCAAAATATCAAAGTACTTTATCATATCAGAACCTAGGTTGTAGAGATGTTTATGAATACAGAACAATTATTATTTATCAAATGTAAGAAAACAAAAGAGTAAAGGCAATTGAATATACATTGAACTTTTTGATTTTTTTTAATTAAGTCACACCCATAATTTTAAAAAAGTGATTTATTTTGTTAGATATTTCATTTCACCAGTAGGACACTGCAGCTGTACATTTTAGGACAATTAGAGGGCTTGTGGAGTGGTTACAATCACTTAATGTTAAATTTTGATGCTTACCTAAGATGTGCTATTACTATTCAGAGAATTGTATGTGGTCAATGGCTAATTACAGGCACTATATAAATGACACATATTTGCAAAAATATGTTTCACTGATTATATTCCTAAAACTGCAGAAACTGTTTTATAATGACAAACCATTTAAAAAAATCAAAATTTGTGTTTAAATTATTGCTGGTAAAATAATGCTTGATGCAGTGAATGTATCCCATTTAATTAATATATTCCACTGCATATGATAGCCAAGAAGTTAACTTCTATTGTATAATCCTTAAAACTTTCAAGGCTCTTGTTCATTTGCTTTTAGATAACAGAGTACGTGGAAAACCCCAGAGACGCATCCTACTTACTCCTCCATCAGGAAAAATAATGAGTCTTACATGAGTAATTGTATCCTGCATTTGCATGGCTGTGCCATCAAAGAAATGCCTCTTGTTAGGTTTAAGCTAGAACAAAAATATAAAGTAAGACTAGTATACTTAAATAGTGTCTTAACAGAAGTCATATGTTATTACACACATACACAAATATCATAAAAACCAGATGAGTGTCCACTTTAGCTAAACCTGCTCTTTGCTTACTACACTATTTAGTTTTGTCATTGTAATATTTCAAGTTCCACTCTTCAAATCTGTAATATTTATTCTTAAATGATGAACTCAGGACAACTAGTATGCTACAAGCTAAGAGCCCAACATTGCCCAAAGATATTATAACTTACTTTTGCAACAGAAAGCAAAGGGATCCATTTTAGACCCTGTTTAAGATTCCATTTCTGTATTATACATTCTTTTTCTTCTTCTGTGTTCAAGACACAGGCCTCAACTTTACATGTATCTGGAAAGTTACCTGGAAGTAAAAATATATTTTTTATATTTGTTAACGTTATAATTATCTTCTTCAGAAGAAAGCAGTTTACAAAGAAAGCTGGCATTTATAACTGAAATGTGTGGTAATGAACATCACAAGACACAGATACGATTTTTAAGTTTGTGCTGCAGTTATGGCTTGAAAGATGTATAGAGCTGACAAATAACGAAATATTTTATTTGAAAAAAAAAATCACAATTCTGTTTATCCATGAATATGAATTAATTATTTGCACAGCTCTATAAACGTAACAAATAATGCAAAACATTAACTGAACAATGTATACCTAAATGCACTTCATTTTTCACACTATATTTATGTATTCAATAAAATACATACAAATCCAACTTACTGCTTAACAGAATATAGTTGTTTTTTTCTAAGAGGACCAATCTAAAGAACACACAATTTCTTATTATAAAAAATACTCTATTCCAATCAAATTCAGTGGTAAAATCCCGGTTCCACTGAAATCAGTAGCAGACTTCCCCTTTGACTTCACTGAAGCCAATATTTCACCCAGAAAATCCTCTTGAAAATGCCCCCACCGTGGAAGTATCCTCCCCTGACATACAGCTGCTATAGTGGATTTTGTATATTGTATCCAGCCAGATGCATGTTCTTCTTATTGCTGAAGGGAGATATTGCACGTTCCACTTAGTTTACCTGATCCTCAGCTATTAAAAAAAATAGCATAATGCCTCTTGGCTCATCACCCCATGGTCTTGTGATATAGGTAATGGAAAGAGAGAGAGAGAGAAACACACACATTTATGTATTATACAACTTTTGGGGTATATTATTTTATGGCCAATAAAATACAAGGAACAAAGGCAGGGGGTCGGACTGGATAATCTACTCAGGTCCCTTCCGACCCTAGAAACTATGAAACTATGAAAGGGAAACCATTTTTCATACCTTTAAAGTGAGTGGTGTCTATTTCAATATGGGTTATTATACCAGGGTGTGCTAGACGGAAAACTGCCCATTCATGACCTGGTATCAAAAGAACACCTTTGTCATCAACCTGAAATTACAGGGAACATTTTGTATTGTTAACTGAAATGCAAGAAGAAGAAAAAACCCAGCAAGGTAGTATTTTTAATTTAGTATTTAATTTTGTTAAGGGAAAGAATGTATAAAACATTTTTATTTTCAGATTAGTGAATGAATCTAATAATAATGTTTTGCTCATTTTTACAAGATTTTTTTCTACAAAGAATTCTGTTACCTGGTACCCTTCTTTTCAAAATGATTAAATATCATGTTAATGGAAGTGAATTAGATGTATAATCTATATGTCAATAGTAGTATAAAGTTAAAGGAGGTATTGACAAGATTTGGTTCATTTTGTTCTGGACAGCAATAAGATAATAAGCATTTTCTTTTCAGTAAGAAATCCCATTCTAAAGGCCATTTTACTGGCTCGGATAACAAAAGAGAACTATAGTCAGCTGTGTGATCCCTTGCCAGTTGCAGGTGCTTGCATTTATGTCATTACCCATATTGCATCACTGATTCTTATGACAAATGTTCATGTTTTCCATTATATAGGGCTCCTGTTCTCTTCAAAGTCAATAACAACATTTCTATTGATTTCAAGGGATGGAGGATAGGGCATTAATAATTAGCCTTTTTATATCAGTGTGCTTACTTCTTAATAACTGGTGAGTCCCTTCATTTTGTTATTTTATTCACTTATATTTCTGCCAAGGTTGCTGACTGCCAAAGATAACAGTTGTAATAATCTCTCACATTTATATAATTTATTTCATTAGCAAAATACAATAAAAATCCAAGTAAACAGAAATGGTGAGAAAAATAAAGAGCAAGTTAGGCTTACTCAGCCATGTCCTATTCCTAAAGATTAGGTTGTATGCCTCCAAGATAAGAAGTTGCTTCCTTCTTGGAAGATTTAAAAGAGATCTCAAATTTCACTACAGCGTGCGCACACACGAACACAAACATACACTTTTTGATGATTTAATCGGCTTTTATTTCTTTATAAAGATAAATGTAATACTTTACTTTTACAACTGGTGGTCTATCCATTCTTCTTGCTGTTTCCCAGCCATCTTTCATTGAAGTCGCTTTTCCTGGCCCTAGAGAAACAGGAAATAGGTAACACAGTAGAGGGTATTTATTATAAACCATTCTATGGTTTCTTACTTCAAAGCTCATAAAAAAGTTGGGTCAGATGTGCAGTTTTCTTCAGTTTCCCACCAATGTGTCGCAAGTATAACCTAAAAAGGCCACTACCAGAGAGTGCCCGAATAGCCATTACCATATCACCTAAATCCAAGACAGCTTTGAACTTAAGATGACCCCTGAAATAATTCAAATTTATAAATTTGTTAAAATTTTCCACATATAGAATATAATTTTTAAGGAGGATCTTATTATTGGAGCCAGAGCCAAGCACCCACCTGCTCCCCCTCACCCACCCTCACCTTATACTCAAATCCAAGGCAAGGAACTATTTCCCCCTGCCATATTGAGGGGGGGTGGGGGCACCTGTGTCTTGTATTAGAGTAAATATAGTATATCCACGGATATTTCAAGGTTCCTAAACCCAACAGGATGTCCCTGGTAGTATGGGTCTAGTGGAGCCACATTGGCAGAGATCAGAGGGCATTTATACACATGCTCTGGGAGTGGGGGTCACTTTACTAAGAGTCACTTTGATATCTGTTCTAATTAAAATGCCCAGAGCATCTCATGAATCAGCCTTCCCCTGCTGAAAAATGGCAGCAGGGGCACTTTAACTCAAGCTCGTTGAACGTGCTTTAGTTTAAACGCCCCCACTGCCATTTTTCAGCACAGGGAGGCTGATACACAAGACGCTGGAGTCTGCTGGAGCATGGTAATTACTACACTCCCATAGCTTCGATTAATCGAGTCTGCTCTGATACATTGTAATTACAGCACTACACATGTACAGTGCTACACATAGGTGCCCAGAGCAGGAAGGAAAATGGCAGAGCCACTGCTCATTGTATATGAATATAAGCTGTGGTTCCCAAAGGCTCTGTAGAGGTTAGTGAAGCTTTTCTGTATGGGAAGGAATAAACAGCATATTAAAGAGGAATACCCATGAAAAAATCCTTGCAGGATTTTTCCTTTTAAAAAGAACCTTCACAAAGCCTTTACCGCAGGCTCTGGCCAAGGAATGAGCCATCTAATTAGAACACAGTAGCCTAAAAATGAACTGCATATTTAATGAAGGTATTAGATATTGTATTATAAATAGATTTAAAGTACAGTTCTTGGTCTTCACAGATTAACAAAAGAAATATACTGAAATTCGTAAGTTTACAAAGCTATGATGTTCAGATCCAGCCCTCCATTACATGACTGCTTTGTCTGAAAATAGGCTGCAAGATCTGACCAAAATGCAGTATAATTTAAACCCATGGGTTTAAATTACACGTGCTCTGGGGTGGAGAAGGGGGCACTTTAAATAGAGCGGTTCCAATTGCCACTCTAATTAAAGTGCCTGCAGTGTCACATGTATTCAGCATCCCACGTTTCAAATGGTGACGGGGCGCTTAAACTTAAGCTCGTTCAACAAGTGTTAGTTCTAGTGCTCCCCCTGCCATTTCGAAGCATGGAGATGCTGAATAGACATAACAAGGAGACTTTTGGAGCTCATTAATTAACACGCTCCAGCAGACTCATTTAATTAAGTCTGCTCCAAAGTACGCTAATTAGCATGTGTCAGAGCAAACATCTGGCACATGTATACGTGCCCATAGTTGTTACTACTGAGGCCAAAAGGGCCATTTTTATTAAGCTATACAGGGGATGATTGAAATCAGTTTACGCCATTACACAGTTTATTTTAATTATTAAAAACAGTATGTTTGCCTTACATAAAATATTTCTTGGGTGACCTAACTGAGTAGTGCTAAATCCAACGCAGACACCTCCATTCGCCATTGCCACCAAGTCATCCAAGTCATTTAGGCCAGAAGCTGACCAGTCCTTCTGTATGATACCGAACACCTTGAATCGTGCAATCCCACCATCTGTAGAGAAAATAAAAATTATATGATACACTTTACAGCTTTCCTCAAAAATTAATAGAACCATAAGGGTCATGCTTATACATATTCTAAAGAAAGGTACAACATAGATGGAAAAAGTAAATTCTCTTTCTTTTTATTCTACACAAACTACAAAGAAAAGAAAGGGTTTAAATTCACAGTGGAAACTGATTGCTATACGGGCACATCTACAGGGCCACCTGAGCAGGACCAGGTGCACCAGCAAGAAATAAGGCCCACACACTGACATCCCCAGGCTGATAAACTGTTTGCGTTGACAGCTTGAGAGCAATATGGCAAGCTCAAGTGCAAGGACAGTAGATGTCAGTGGGTAGGACTTATTTCTTGACAGCATGCATGCTCTTGCTCAGGAAGCCATTGTAGACACTGTCTAAACTGTCATGCAGGACTTTTATAATTCATTATGTCATTAATAAACATCAAGGTGATCTCCACACTATATATATGTACTAATAATTCACAGAGCAGTAGTAGCTGAAAATAATGTAAATTACTGTACTTTAAATCATTGCATAGATTTGTATTTTTAAGAATACAATGAGAAATGGTGGATTGGATCAGACCAAGGGTCCATTTAGCCCAGAATCTTGCATCTCATAGTGGAAGGGAGCAGATTATAAGGGAAACAATATTTAAGCAAGGCCTATCCAGAGTGATTCATCTTCCCCTCTTCCGACATTTAGAGGTTTAGGAAGTCCTGGTTTTGAGCCATTATATTTAATATCCACTGACAGACCTGTCTTTCATGAATGGTCACATCATCTTTTAAACCTGATTAAAATTATCAGTTCTGAAAAATCTTGTGGCAGTGAACTGCACAAATTAATTGCACATTGTATGAAAAATACTTTCTTCTGGTCTAAACCTGCCACTCAATAATTTCATATGTTCTCTAGTTCTAGTACCATGAGAAACACTAAATACCAAATCCCTATTTTTCTTCAATCATGATTTTATAGACCTCTATCATTAACCTTCTTAGTCATCTTTTTTCTAAACTGAAAAGTCCCAACCTATTTAGCTTCTCAGTATCCTTTATCATCCTTTCTACCCTTCTCTATACTTTTTTGAGATAGGAGAACCAAAACTGCACAAACCATTGCAGGCATGGCTGTACCCTGAATTTATACAATGACATAATGAAATCTTACGTTTTGTTTTCAGTTTCCTTCTTGATAATTCCTTAATAATTTCTAGTTCTATGTACCATTTGGACTGCTGCTGAACACTGGGCTGATGTTTTCTGACCACTATCCACAACTATCTTGCTTTCATGTGGGTTCAGAACTCAGGGGATAAATGCTTCCCTCCTTTCCACTGAATTCAACAGCAGGAAAGGAAGTAGGTAAGCAGCAGTGGCAGTTTTCATCCCTTGGGCTTTGGAACCAATGAAAGCAGACCCACGCTGGGAGCTCATGTGCGGCACAGCCAAATGAGGAAGGTTTGACTGCATCACTGCGCTCCCGCTGGGTCTAGCCCTGTGGGTTTCTAAAAGTTTCTAAAGGTACAAAAAGAAGTTATTTTTGTTACAAGATTGGCCCCTTGAATGTGCTCTACAGCCATGCCCTAACGTAAGTGTATGACTGCAGAGCCCTTTAAAAGTGCTCAATCACATGACAAATGAACCCTCATTATATAAGGGTTCAGATGAAGGCACTTCAAAGCAGAGTGCCTTCATTAACTTCTGTCTGCTCAGGTGGCTGGGATGATGCAGACTAGCCCTACCCCCAATGCTGTCTGCACGATGGGAGCAAGGTTCCCTCTAAGGTATGCGCATGCACGGCAGCACACAACTAAAAGTGTGGCCGTGCACAGCCTTTTCAAAGCTGCGCACCAGGAGAGGTGGAGGTGGGAACCTGGCACAGGCTTCACCAGCTCTGGGACACTACTCCACTCCCCGCGTGGCCTCGGGGGGTGTGTCCCACTATGTCTCAGAGCCAGCAGAGCCTCACTCGGAGCAGGCAGTGGCTCCTCCCCAAGGTGAGCCAAGACAGGGATGGAGGCTGGTGTGGGGGACTGGCGTGGGCTCCGCCGGCTCCAGGGAAGTGTTCCATTCCCCGGCCCTGATGCAGGGCAGCAGAGCACTTCCCCAGAGCCAGCAGAGCCTGCACCAGCCCCCGGCTCTCTGCCTCCGGCCCCCAGCTCCAGCCTCCGGCCCCCAGCTCCAGGCCCCAGCTCCAGCCCCCAGCCCTCTTCGATAAGTGTCCCACACCAGCCCGAGGCGGCACACTCACGGACCGAGGCAGCGCACTCACAGACCACTACTCCTTAGAGGGAACATTGGATGGGAGGGAGGGAGAAGGGAAGGAAGGGAGTTCAGGCTTAGGCAGGTGTTTGTCCAGCCCATGCTGGATTGGGGGCAGGTAGATTGGATTCCTCCCACCCCTGAGGCCCTCCGAGGGCCCCCACTCTAGTGCAGGCTGGGCAAACACCAGCCCCAGCTCCCTCCCCTCCCTTCTTCCCCCTTCCCATCAACCAGACAGCACCAGGGCTGGGAGATGGGGGCAGGGCAAGTGGGAGAGGCTACGTACACACAGCCTCTCTCACACAGCCAGATTGGCACTCAATCTCCCACCCTCCCAACCCAAAAGCAAATGTCTGTTGGGTTGGGAGGGTTGGTCTAAGAGAACGCTTTCTCATCAGCAATTCAGAAATGTATTTTTAAATGAAATATTACTTTAAATTTCAACGTAACAATTTAGAAGTCACCCTCTCATCTGTGTATTTACTACAAAAGAAACTACTGTTAAAGAATCTACCCCCACGTGCAAGGACATTTTAGTGAGACAAATGAAAGACGTTATTTGATTATAGCAGCCAAAATAAAACTCAGTAGGAAGTGGATTTCCCATTTTTCAGGGCATTTTTTGATTTTTTTATGTTCTTTTATGTTCTTTTTAACCCAAAAGGTTAAAATGTCAGTCTAAACAAGATATCAAAATAAATGTATTTGGAACAATTAAAACATTTAATTACAATATAACCAAGCCATTTTGTTTTGATTTTGTTTGAAAATTAGTGTTTTTAATAAAAAAAAACCCAAAAATATTGCTTTGAAAGGTGGTTTCAAAATGAAAACTGTATCAGTTTGAAATTAACACTTTGTTTTAAACATTTTGATTCAGATGTAAATGGTATATTTAACTGAAAATCAGTTTCAACAACAACTTTCTAACTAGCCATACCACTTACTGTTTTAATCTTCTTGCTGCATATGTTCATAACAGTCACTAACAAGATAACTTGCCTCATCTACCCGTTAAAGTTGAAGCAATTTTTGCTACATTTGTATCATTCCCAGCTTAATCACACATAACAATTACAATTGGGCAGCTACTGCTTTTCTGAAACAGATCCAAATATATCTGTCCATGCCCAAACTACTGTTCTCCTGACTGATTTTTAATCCTTGAAATAGACCTCAAAACAAATGAAACTCACATAAAACAGGTATTCCCCTGACTGTCCTCTGCTCCCTTGTATCAATGCTGAAAAATTACCCCTCTGACTGTCAATGAGTCTTGTGGTTCATGCCAGAAACTTCTATGCAGCAAACTGGGCTCCCTGCCCATCTTACAAAATCTGCTGAACAAACCTGACTCCCCACATTGCTTGTTCTCGTTGATATTTTCTGTTATTATGACAGCAACAAGTGGGAATGGGTAAACAGAAACAACAACAAAATTAAATAGTTATTACTTGGTCCATATATATTTAGTGTTATTATACCTGGATAGATGTTGAACCGTACATGAGTCCATCTCTGCTTAGAATTGGCAGAAAAATAATTTTGGCTAGTATCAAGGGGTCCCGGCTTTAATTCTGTCATTGGAACCAGGAAGTTCCATTCCTCTGACTTCATCTGATAATAAATATGAATTAATTGTGTGTCAAAGTTAAAGGTATTTATTTTATTCCATTTGTTTATAATTAAGCATAATATATCATAATATTTTATGATGAATTTTAGCCCTTCTTCTGTTAGCCAGTATTTGGCAGAATGAAGTATTCATTTCTGTTTTTTAATAATGATGGTTGAGATGACACTGGCATTCTAAGCCCCAGTACTCAGCAAGTTATAGACTTCCAAAATAATTACCTGTCAGCTGAATGTTCAAAGGAAGTAATCTGAGAAAGTCTGAAAGAAACTGTCCATTTTTGAGGATTGGACATTCAAAAAAGGTGGGGTATTTTTTAATTAAATACTTAAGGAAATACTTTCTAGTTTGCCATTTCCATTGAAAACGAGATTTTTATTGCAAAACAAAAATTAAATAAAGAGGCTTTATTCTGATCCCAGTCACATTTCATGTAAGTTTAAAGTAACTCCATTAAAATGAAGGGAACTGTTTTGGATGTATACTAGTGTGAACCTGCCATATTCTCAAAACAACTTTAAATCTACATATCATACAATACAGGCATTTTCTTTATGGGTTGTATCCAACCTGTTCTCCTTACTCAGGCAAAGCTCCCACTGTGATCAAGGAAAAGAGGTGCTTCTTGTGCTCAAGGAAACTGTAAATCAAGAAGCTGAGCTTTTATTTCCAGCTTTTATATAGATTTTTATATGACCCCTAGGTCACCACTTCCAAAAATTATTTAATTTTGGGTACACAGCTTAAAACTTCTAAAATGTTGGACAAATGATAGCAAAACAAAGGGTGGGAGGAGGGAGACTTACCACATCTGCTGTTGCTCAATAACTATTTCATGTGTTCTACTTCACTATGAGTGAAAGCAATACCAGAATAATTTCACTTCCCCTTATCACTGATACCACATGAATCAGATACTGCGGAACAGCTGATATAAAGCAAGTCTCTAATCTTATCACTTGCTAGCACTGGGTACCTAAAAACAGAGGCATCTAATATGAAGCAACATTAACTGTACATAAATAAGCAAAAGATTAATTGGAACAAGCTGAGATTAAACAAGGAAAAGCTTTGTAAAGTAGAACTATACTGTAATGTCAATTAGACACTTCGCATTAGTGGGTTTTTTATTTTTTGTCAATTTATAAGGTTTATTTGAGAGCTTGTGAAGTGTCAGATCAACAGTCCCAGAAACTAAAGTCCTTTACCCATTACAGAGGTACCACAAGTGTCATAATGCATATCGTCCTAGGCTAGAGGTTGGCAGCAGTTTGGAGTAGGGGAGCACTTTAATAAAGCTAAGGTCCAAGCTCAGACTGTTTCAAACCCAGCCGATGCCACCACTGCAATCAGTTCTCTCCCCTGCAGTGTCACTGCCACCATTCTCTGCAGCCAAAACTCCCTACATATATCCCCCATCTCTGAAAAGCCAGCCAGTTTCAACAATTGCTCACAATCAAACTATGTGTAATTCAAATGACAACCTAGAAATAAAAGGTTATGTGTCTCATTAAAATTCTAAGAACTGTTCAGCTTCCTGCTGATATTATGTACCTTCTTGACAGCTTCAAATTCTTCATCAGAAGCTGCAGTTCCTATTCTGTCCCCTCTTGGCCACAATTCTGGTATCTCAACTGCAGGAATAATATCATCACAAAGAGAGTCAATAAATAGCATCATATAATTATAGTGTAATTTTCATAAAAGGATAGAAAAATAGGGTTGGAAGGGACCTCAGGAGCCCCCCTAACTCAAGGCAGGATGATCTCTTACTAAAACAACCCAGTCAAGTTTCTGTCTAACCTACACTTGAAAACTTTCAAGAATGGAGATTCCACAACCTCTCTAAGTAACCTGTTCCAATGCTGAACTACCCTCGGAGTCAGAAAGTTCTTCCTAATATCAAACCTGGTCCAGATTAAGCAAAAAATATTTAGAATAACAGAAGTAATAATACCATTGTTTGCTCAGAGGAATGCTACCCTAGGAATCTGATCCTTTAATATGCATACCTACCTATGCCAAACAAATATGTATGACATTATTTCTATTGACAAAAATAGTGATTCCACTTTAATTATTTCAAATATTATTCTTTTTAAAACACCTTGTTCTCCCGCACTCTTCGGGAGCCAAATATAGTTGTGCCTTGTGCAACCACAGAAAGCTTCTTGACAGTAGAACCAAGGCATCTTTCCCAAACAAAGGGATGCTATACAGATGAGCATGGAGGAAAGCATCAGATTCTGGATAGCACAGAACCTATACAAGTTATCAGCATGGCAGCTAGCACAGGAAAGGAGAGGCTGGAACAAGGATGGGGAAGCAAACTGGTGGTGTTGGAACATTTGCTCCTACCACATTCTTCCACAGCAGAAAAGTTACATAGAGAGATCAGGGTGCTCTGTCTTTCTTTTTCTTGAAATAGCTCTAAAGCAGTAATGCCCAACTCATCTGGGAACCATGGGAAATAATGCTGTCACTGCTCCCCTGTGTCTTGGTCACACCTGCTCGAGTCTAGAGCCATCTGAGGCAACAGGAATAATACAATTACTTCTACTATACATATAGCCTGGATTATCTGGCTGGTTGCTGGATTCTGGATTTAATCCTCTATGACATATTTTTCCCCTCAGAAACCAGGAAGTATGTCATTCTTTAGACTATATTTCATTAAATACACATAGCACCATTGGGTAAAGGATGTTAATATGAGATTGAAAAAACAATGAAAATCAATAGTTGTATCCCTAACCATTCATAGCCTCAGTCACGCCTCATCCTGATACTGTTTTGTTATTCCCAGAAGTGCTAAAGTGGTATTTCCAGGTGTGAGATTGTTTTAGCTGCTAACCCCACAATGCCTGAAATTAAATAATTCTGTCTTCTATTAAAAAAAAAGAAAAAGTCATATTTAACTTTCCCCTCTGGATCTCACATTAGCAGTGCAATTTAACAGGCAAAAGTTCTTCCACTGTGACATCTGGACACCTTTCAGATATTAATTCATTAATTACCTTGTTTCAAGCATGCTGCCTGAACAGATATACGGGGAGCACAATTTCCAGCAAAGAAAGATGTGTTTACTTCAAATCCATGGATAGTTCCTGGTACTCCCAACTGGATAATGCACCAATCATGTCCTGAGGGATAACAAAACATATGGCTTTTCTAATAAGTGTCATGTGTAACTAAGAAATAAAAGGGCTAGTTCACTTGGACATTCAGATAATACAATCATTCTTGGTATCTAAATGACACTAAGAGGTTGACCAAACTCCAGCCTTTATACCCAGTCTTCATTGATACCAAAGTTGGGAGACATTAAGATACTTATTTTGCATAACTGTAGGCTCTGAAATAAAAATTAAGTAACAGATCTGTGTAAAGCAATCAAAAAACTGCAACAAAATTTCAGTTTATTTTTGGAGGAATTTGCATACAATTAAGATAAAGAATTATTTAAAGACATAAAAGGTGTATTTGACCAAACATGAAGAGCACCTACTTTCTGGTCATTGGAGTAGCTTTCTGAAAATCACTAGATGTTGTGTGTAAAAATAATGTATTTTCCAGTTAACACACTTCCTAGAAAGAATTATTCCAAACAATTTTGACTATAATTGTCTCTTCTCAAAACATGGAGATGTATATGCGTTAAAGAGAAAAGATGAGCTCGGACCTGAGAATTTGATTCCAGGAGCTATCTGCAAATTTCAGACCAATATCTTCACTTGGATTTTGGATACCTTTATGTTATTAAGTATTTGGATCTAGGGTTTTGATCTGGGTCTATTTTTGTTTAGAATAACCAAAAGTAAGACCCTCTCCATATAACTGCAAGCAGTGTCCAGGTACAGTGGTTCTCAGCCCTTTCAGAGTCAGGATACCCCTCCACCACATTTTTGAATGTGACATCACCCCTGGTTGAGAACCACTGCTCTACTGCCTCCAGTTACTTCAGTGCTTCACAACCAGGTATTTCTGCCTCCAAACAAAGTTGCCCCATGTGCCTGCTGCACAGCAAGCTTAGAAGGGCTGTGGCATGTGTGCACACTTCTGCTGCATTAGGGCTGGATTCAGGCCAAAGCAGGCAGGAGATGCCTGCTTATGCTGTGTAGCCCTTCTTGGCCTGGCCCCTCCTGCACTCCTCCCAGAAAAGAGATGCATGGGTGGAAATGTCCCTTGGTTGTTTCTGGAAGGAACATGGGAGAGGCCCAACTGGAAAAAGCTACCGCCACGGCAGCTTCTGCCTGCTAGGTTAATCACAGCTCTAATGTAGCAAGTGTGTACACAGGGCAGTTTGAACTGGCTGTTGCTAGAGTAGCAGCACCTGCATCACAGCATCCCAGATGGGGGCTTGGGACACCCCAGCTTAGTGCACAACTCTGGTTGAGAACCATTGATCTAGTACTTGCCAGTTCAAATCAAAATACAGGCTTGACAGTGTTACGCTTGCCAGCACCACAACTGAACAAGACCTGGGCGTTGTGATAGACAACAAAATGAACAGGAGCCACCAATGTGATGCCAGAGCTAATAAAACATTGACGTGCATCTACTAAGGCATCTCAAGCAGGGCTGAGGATGTCATCCTCCCTCTCTACTCAGCCTTGGTGAGATTGGACCTGGAGTACTGCGTCCAGTTCTGGGCGCCGCACTTCAGGAAGGATGTGAAGAAGCTCAAGACAGTCCAAAGGAGGGCCATGCACATGATTAGAGGCCTTGAGACCAGGTCATACAAGGAGAGGCTGAAAGACTTGGGGACTGTTCAGCCTGGAGAAGAGAAGACTCAGAGAGGACTTCGTAGCAGCCTATAAGTATATCAGAGGCATACATCAGACATACACCCGATGAGTAAGGTCCCTCCCAGCCCCTAACAACTATGAAACCATGAAAACAAAACAGCTGTTCATGACAAGGATCATCACAGAATAGGCATTTCTAAATTCCTATGAAGTCTGTAAGCCATTTCTGGAGGTTTTTCACATTAATTTTATCTACCAATGAAAACCCTATTTTGTAGGGCTGTGCAAAAAGTGAAGGTCTGGATATACATAGATTTGACAAACTCAGGACTCTCATTTCTATCTATCTGATAGTCAGTACTCCAAAACTTCCATCAGGAGTTTCTGGCTCATTCAAATTAAGCCGTTACAAATTAACCACCCTTAAAACTGGAAGGTGTAGTAATAAAGTGAGCCAATTTCATCCCTTCTTCCCACCAATTGTCAGTGTTTTTTGTGGTCTGAAAATCCCTTGCTGTTGTTAGGTATTAACTGACTAGTATTTACTGTTATTACCTGGGGTCCTTTTCCTCCTTGTCTCCCATCCATCCATCCATTTGCCATACGCAGTAAATTTATCTACTTTGAATTCTGGATTCTGTTTCTAAAAAATAAGCACAAGCTTATTCTGCTCGCAGTCATAAATCCATACAACTGTTGACTTTAGCATACTGAAAACAGATTTGTGCCCAGCATTTAACATGCAAGTTTCAAGCCCCAAAGCTGATGCTAATAGAAAAGGTATATAATATATGCCATTCTAATCTAGAAAAAATAACACTGAAAAATTATAACCTGTATTAGTCAATGGATTTATGCTGACCAGCTAAGGATATTGCCTTCGATTGTACTAAAATATTCTTCTGATTAGGCACATACTTTAAATCCCTGGTAACTGATTTCAGTGGTATTTTTACGTGTGAAATGACTGTAGAATCGTTTATTTAGATTACAGTTTTTTCTGTGTAAATAAAACATAAATTCTAATCAGAGCTAAAATTTATTTTAAGGTTTATTCCTCACAAAAGATGCAATTGGAAAAGAATCTCTCTAAAGAAGCCTTTAAGTCATTATTTACTGGTTGAGAAAAGGAAATATAGTTGTGAGGGAAATATCCCGCTTGATTCACTGAAATAGTTTTGACTGTACTGTTACGCCTGAAAGGTGCTAATGTGTAATCAGAATACAGAAGCTGTTATTATTGTAGTAATGAGCCAGCAATTGAATTAAATCAGTAATCAAGAATCAAAACGTTTGGTAATCATAATCAAGCCTATGCAAATGCTTCCTTTATCCAAAAGAGCAACAAACACAGGGCACAAGATGCCTGAGTGCCAATTTGGATACCATCATTATAACCAATTGGTTCACTCTATACCTATTTTCCAGGGACTTTGCACAGACGTAACTAATTTAAAGATGCAAAATATAGTGGAGAAGCAGATCCTTTGGGTTTAGATATAGCCTACAAGCTATCATATTAAACCTAGTGTTTTTATCATTTATTTATATTAAAAACAAAAACACAAATCCTTCCATGTTCATGGTTGATCAGAAATTTTCCAAAAGAACAGTTTTCTGTCAGAAAGTGTCAACCCCACTGCAAAGTAATTAACAGTCCCCAAAACAAAAGTCCACAAAAACTTGCCAGATAGCTGATTGCTTGCTTACTGTACCTTTAAAAGGTTGTCTGCAGGACTAAAAAAGTCATCTGTTGCAAATAAAACCTATGTAGAAAATAAAAACATTTTTATTTCATAGTGAAATGTACCAAGGAATTAAACAAAAAGAACATGTTTACTTGCCAACAGCGTACAAAATGATATTTTAAAAGTCCTTATATATCTTTGTATGTGTGTCTTTCATTAGGTTCTAATCCTGCAATAATCCTCTGCAGAACCACACTGAATTCAATTGTTCTTTGGAGGCTCAAATTGCTCCTGTCACAGGGGGCGTGTAGACACTGCACCTGGGAATAGTTTACTCTGGTTCCAACTGCTCTGGCATTTATTGCTTTGAATTAATTGCATGTGTAGATGCACCCACTGGCACTAAATTAAATCATGCAGCCAGTGATAGGTTTCACTTTGTATCTGAGGACATTGTTCTTTAAAATAATGTAGCATCTTAGACTTTGCAATCTTCACACATGAAACTGAACTGCTCTTAAAGAGATCAAGTCTATCTTCTCCTTTACATAAAAGCTTATCTATGTCAATTTAGAGAAGTAAAAGTTAAAGGGTGCCAATAATCTGGTTGGCAATGGCCCCCAGTACATAGTATTCCTGTCCTGAACATGAATATTCTACAGGTTTCCCTCACTTTATGCTGTACATGTGTTCCTAGAAAACGACACGTAACTCAAATTCGCATAAAGGAAACCCACTTTACAGTGTAACAAATAGGGATATGTTCCAAAACCTCAACTGTACTGACCCCCCAGACCCATTTGTACTACTTTTACAAGACAATTTTGGTACTCACCAACAGCAGATAGTACACACAAGCACACGGTGGTGGTGAATGTTACCATAATGGGGATGACAACTATAGAAACACATGTTGCAGACAACAAGCAAGGAACACAGATCCACACAGAAGGCTATATTTTGGTGCACATCACTCCCACAATGCACTGTACAAAGCAGCTGACTGCATGCTTCCACCACACCAATTGCATGAGAGTGAATTTACATTTCATGTAAAGAATTTTTGGTATAAAAAGGGCCATCACATAAGAATTCTCACATACAGAACCTGCATAAAGCGAAGGTAAACCTGTACTTAATGGTTTCTATAAATCTTCCTTTGCAGGGCCAGGGGTCCAACAGACCAGTATTGACCAACCTTTTTGGCAAGTGTGCCACAAGTTTAAAGTATGAGATAGTGCCACTCTAATAGTCAGCCAGAGCCATTGCCCAATGCTGTTGAATCTTACCTCTACCAGATCATGGCAACACTGAATTTGGCAGCATCTACCCCTATAGCTCCTGCAGAACCAAACCCTCAAGCTAGCATTAACTCCTAACTCTTGCTCCTTCCCCGACTGCTTCTCTGAGCCCCTTCCCCTCTCCAAGTACTGCTCCATTTCCCTCCCCTTAATTTTAGGAATTGTGACACCTAACTGGAAAAGCCTACAAGATCACTTTGGACCTGGTCTTGAGAGCTTACAGAATGCTCCGTAAATTTTCTTGGGTAGACTGGATTAGGGAACAATATCTATACTGTACTGCCACTGCTACATACAGATTTTTTCAGGGGCATTGGCTTTGTGAGTGTTTCATGTGGCCCTATATTTATATTCTTTTCAATATTTTAAATAGCTTGACATAGCATTTAACAAGCAATTCAATTTCAAGTTGCATCACTTATAAAATTCTTATCTGAAAGTAGCAGCAGCCAGCTACTCGCTTCATTATCAGGTATTAACTTTGCTGGAATTGCTATTTTTCCAAGCTTATAAATGACTCTCCAACACACCATAAAAACAAGCCCTCTTTTCTCCCATGACCTATATGAAATAATACAATCTCTCTTCTTTCATGCCAAAGAGGGTTGTATGGGGCTTTATAACACAAATAAATTCAAGGGTATATGGGCATATGTTTTTCTTCCTCCATATTAAAATAGTATTTTTGATGTCATACAACATCATTCATTTGAAAGGATCCCCAAATCCCTTACAAACAGTCTATACTGACATACAGCAAATAGAAATGAAATGTAAAAGTCAGGCAACCCAAGGAAGATGTTGCCAAGTAACTGTGAGTTCATCTGTTCTTTTGTGTATCAGTAGACCTAGCAGACTGGATCTTGGCTCCCAAATTTTCAAAAAAACAGTAAATTGAGATTTGTATTAGTAGGCTTGCAACTTTAAAAGGTCAGCAGCATTCCTCAGAATGTTAAGGAAAAATCTTGTGGTGAGAGGGTCAGGAAGCTAAACGAGAGTCCTGGGGGCTGCTCCTGGCTGTTCCAGACTTTTGGGGTAGCCCTTGACAAATCTCTTAATTTCCTAGTGTTTCATTTTTCCACATCTGTAAAATATGGATAATTACGCTTAAAGTGTAGGGATGCTGAGAAGCTTAATTCATTAGTGTTTGCAAAACCTTTTAGATCTTCAACTGGAAATAGCTGCAGAAGTGCCAAGTACAATCTGCATCAAACCCATACTTTGTTAACTGTATTACATTTACCTTTCCTCCCATAGTTTTGCAGGCCAAATCATTCAGATTCAGAAAGTCAGGTAAAACCTGAGTTTCTTCTTCTTTGATATGAGCAGCCATCTTCCCTGTAAAAGCAGAAGCAGAAGTCTGGGATCCTGTTCTTAAGAAGAAATGAGAGATATGAAGAAAAGCACATCCAGCATCACTTCTCATTACAGGCATACCTCGTTTTATTGCACTTCGCTTTATTGAGCTTCGCAGATATTGCGTTTTTTTACAAATTGAAGGTTTGTGGCAACCCTGCGTCAAGCAAGTCTATCGGCGCCATAGACTTGCTCGACGCAGGGTCGAAGCCATCTACTCTGCCTGTGCTCTATAAATGGAACAACAAAGTCTGGATGACAGCACATCTGTTTACAACATGGTTTACTGAATATTTTAAGCCCACTGTTGAGACCTACTGCTCAGAAAAAAAGATTCCTTTCAAAATATTACTGCTCATTGACAATGCACCTGGTCACCCAAGAGCTCTGATGGAGATGTACAACGAGATTAATGTTGTTTTCGTGCCTGCTAACACAACATCCATTCTGCAGCCCATGGATCAAGGAGTAATTTCGACTTTCAAGTCTTATTATTTAAGAAATACATTTCGTAAGGCTATAGCTGCCATAGATAGTGATTCCTCTGATGGATCTGGGCAAAGTAAATTGAAAACCTTCTGGAAAGGATTCACCATTCTAGATGCCATTAAGAACATTTGTGATTCATGGGAGGAGGTCAAAATATCAACATTAACAGGAGTTTGGAAGAAGTTGATTCCAACCCTCATGGATGACTTTGAGGGGTTCAAGACTTCAGTGGAGGAAGTAACTGCAGATGTGGTGGAAATAGCAAGAGAACTAGAATTAGAAGTGGAGCCTGAAGATGTGACTGAATTGCTGCAATCTCATGATAAAACTTTAACGGATGAGGAGTTGCTTCTTATGGATGAGCAAAGAAAGTGGTTTCTTGAGATGGAATCTACTCCTGGTGAAGATGCTGTGAACATTGTTGAAATGACAACAAAGGATTTAGAATATTACATAAACTTAGTTGATGGAGCAGCGGCAGGGTTTGAGAGGATTGACTCCAATTTTGAAAGAAGTTCTACTGTGGGTAAAATGCTATCAAACAGCATCGCATGCTACAGAGAAATCTTTTGTGAAAGGAAGAGTCAATTGAGGCGGCAACCTTCATTGTTGTCTTATTTTAAGAAATTGCCACAGCCACCCCAACCTTCAGCAACCACCACCCTGATCAGTCAGCAGCCATCAACATCGAGGCAAGACCCTCCACCAGCAGAAAGATTACGACTCGCTGAAGGCTCAGATGATGGTTAGCATTTTTTAGCAATAAAGTATTTTTTAATTAAGGTATGTACATTTTTTTTTAGACATAATGCTATTGCACACTTAATAGACTACAGTATAGTGTAAACATAACTTTTATATGCACTGGGAAACCAAAAAATTCGTGTGACTCGCTTTATTGTGATATTTGCTTTATTGCAGTGGTCTGGAACAGAACCCGCAATATCGCCGAGGTATGCCTGTACATGAATTCTCTCCTGACTTCTCAGCAATCAGGAAAAATTCCAGGAATGGGCTGAAAGAAAAGCAAGCCCATGCATAGTCAGGATAAATTTACAATTTATAATAATTTGAAGTGTGCCCAAATTTGGGATAAACAAAAGTATTAATTAGCCAGTTAGACCAGGTTAAAATGAAGAAAAAACATTTCCAAAGATAGATATATATAGATATAGACAGATAGATAGATATCTATATCTATATTAATATCAATATAAATATAGATATCTTAGGAAAATATATATCAAAAGTTTTAAATGTATTTTTAAATTTATATAGTCCCAAAAGTTACATTTTAGTAATAATCCACATTACTTTTAGTATCAGTGCTAGTGCTCTTTGCTCAAAATGGGTGCTGTGCAAATAAACAAGAAGTCAGAATCCCAGCCTTCAAGAATTATAAATGGTTCAGACATATCCCAATGTGTCTTTTTTTTTGATAGTAGGGAGAAACCTAGGACAAGCCATACTACTTGTGATGTCTCCTGAGATAGGGTTGTGAATGGGAGCACTGTGAGTAAAACATGTAGATGTAGCCAGGGTGGTTAGTGAATGTGCTGTATTAGCACAGCTGCTACACAGCCTTTAGTCAGTAGGATTCCAACAGAGCCCTGGCACTGACTTAAGGCTGCAGATGGTGCAGTTGTCCCAAGCTGCACCATCTGCCTTGGGGTCCTTGCAGGTTCTGGGGAACTTTAATCTATGGTCTGAACCTTCATTTGGTCTGTGAGCCTGTGGGGACCTGACCTTCAATTTGACAGCATTTACCTATTTGGCTGTGTGCAATGTGATATCCTTGCAGCACCGCATCCAAGCAGCTCAAAAACAGCACAGCTAAATAGCAAGAATCCTACTGGTATGAAGGAAAATCAGGGAGATGGGGAGAGAATGGAGAAGGCATGGAACCACGGATGTCTGTTTAAAAAAGCCACAGATTCCAGCACCTCTGTAATTATCTATAGGCCAGTTAACTGGTTGATAAACCATATTAGGCTTTCAGAAATAACAGTACTCATTTCATGTCCACCCACCTTCTGCACACAGCTAACACCAGAAGTTACTTTTTTCTCCTGCAGTAAGAAGAATGAGGGCAAGCAATGGGGGACAAGGTAGGAAATGGGGCAGGGGCATACACACACTGCTTCTGCCACAGACGCCAGAATAGGAGCTCCTAGTAACAAATATCTTCTGGGGGAGAAATGTAGAGTACCTGACATACAGAAGCGGGGAAAAGGGACACAATGTTCCTAGCATGGAGAGAAGGGACGAATACAGGGCAGGCAGTCTCTGATATGGAGACATACACACACCCTTAGTATGCTAGGCGTGAGTGACTGGGATGGGAGAGTGGAGAAAGGCACATGCATATCTCCTGCCTTGGATGAGGATGAAGAAAATGAAGGATCTTGGAGTGGGGAAGGACACTGAGGGTGCACAGAGCCCCAGGCATGAGGGAGATGATGGGAAAAGTTACCGGGAATCTGTGGCATAAAGACAGTCATTGGGAACTGTTCACAGGAGATTGTCATGAGGAATGGAGGGGCACAAGGAGCCTCTAGTGTGTGCAGCAAGTTCGAGCAACAGAAGTTACAAAGGTATACAATGCCCTCATTCAAAAAAGCCTACAGGTCTGCAGGGCTCCAGAACATGGAGGTACAGTGGACACACCTGTGCAGTTGCTTCATGTTCTGACCGGGGCAGGGAATGGCCTGCAGGTTGGGCTACTCATTTCCCTAGAGCCCCCCTACGTGTGCATCTTCCACATTGTTCACGCCTAACAAGCCATTAAGTCTTCAGGGCAGGGGCTCCATCTCAAACTGTTGTGTAAGTCAGTGAGTATCTCTGTAACAGGGCGGAGTCCTAGGGGTGGCCATGATCTCCCCTAGCACCCCCTTTCCATGCCAAGTTTGCCTCAAAGCACCCTCAAGTTTCGCCCGCCATGTCTTCAGGGTTATTGTATAATAGGGAGGTTGCCCATCCGTCATCTTGGACACGGTTTTCCGTTGCACTGAGACACCCATTACTGAATGGGGCCAGGGTACATCCCAGCCTTACGGGCTACGTGTGGCTCCAACCCCCCCTTACCACACCCCAAGCCTCACTGATGTAACTGATGTTGTTTGGTCTTTCTCTGGTGCTCAGGCTCTCCACAGCCCTGTCTCTCGCTGCCCCCTCTCTGGGGCTTCTCACTGCCCCCTCTCTGGGGCTGGGGTTCTCATGCCACCATGGGTCCCCTATGAGGCCTCCTCCAACCCCTAATAGCATCACCCAAGCCTCCGGTGTAAACAGCAACCACAAAACATAAGCCCCCGGGCTATAACATCAATTCTAGCCACTTAGCTGTAACATTATTCGAGCCACCCCAAGGGTGCTCCATTTCTCCCCCAGCATCAGCCTGCTCATGCAGTCCAGCCTCTCCTCTTCACTTACTTAGGCAGAGCTCCTTCCCCCTTAGCAGCCCACAGCCAACTCTCCCCAAGCCTCAGGCTTGTGATTTATATAGGCACCAGTCCCTGCCCCTTCCGGTCAGCTGACCAGGCAGGTGCGACTCACTACCCTCATTAACCAGTTGTCCCAGCAACCTGCACTTGGGCCCTTATCTCTGCTCTCAAAGTAGAAGGCACCTTAGTGCCCTGCTACAATCTCTGCAGAATAATAAATGTGATCCCCCTTGAGAACATCTGCACCACTGGGGCATTTCTGGAGGCAGCCTACACTAACAATAAATGATCCATTTTATTCAGTTACAAAAATAGTATCTATTGTCTTCATATTTACTGCAGAATGGAGTAGCCAAAATGGATAGGAAAAAGCAGACCAGGGAGAAAAGCATATTACAGCCTGAATGGTTACCTAGGGACTCATTTCAGAAATCAAACATGTCTTGACCACCTCCTTCTGAATATCTAAGGAGATACCTAGCAGTGCAGAGCTGATGTGATTCTACCACACAGGGGGACAGAAGATTATTGAGTCTGCCCACGAGGCTTGCATCTACCTCTAGGTCAGACATCATCTCCACGGTAGCTCCCTGGGCCTGTTAATAGCGCATAGCTGGGACCTGGGAAAGAGGAAGGGGCAGTTATCCATGAGCCTCAGAGACCCAAGTTGCTCTCTACTTGGCAAGGTCAGAAGAGAATATTTTGTTACTAGCCCTGTGACCTGAAAGTGGAGGATTTTGTCCTCACCCCATACTGAACCCTACCTACTCTACTGGTTTAACATAGGAAAAAGTGGTGTCCTGAATATAGTATCTACTAATTAGCATCTTTTTCTATATCGTAGCCATTTGATAGTTGCTTTAAGCTTTTTTTATGCCCTGACCAGGTTATCTCACTAATGTATTGCAGCTCTAATTAGAGCCATCAACACTGAGTTGAGCATAGGTCAGTTCAGAGAAAAGAACAGGATTTGACTTCTCCCATGTAACTAGAGTCTACTGCGGCTATAGCTGGCTGTGTATGTGTATCTGTATATGTGGCTGAACAACTCCCACAAGCAGATGCTTATTTCACAGCAAATACTTTATTTTTGTGAAACTGGTTTCCTTCAATGTTCATTGTGTACATTGTATTGAGCTGAATGATTAATGGCCATATACCCAACTAATGAAACTGAAGAAGTTACATTGATTGGGTTATGAAAGAAATACTAAGAAATCAGTGCACTGTTCTGGGACTGCATTTCAAATAGAGAGACTTCTGTTGTTCATATATTCTCCACTATTTCCACTACCGCAGTGGGTTTGATTTTAGACCCAAATTTACCTCATTATACTATCATAAAAATAGCAACAAAAATAATTTCAAAATAAGCTTCTAATATTACAACTACCAGTAATTGATTGTTGGTGCATTTTTTCAGTCACCTAACAATGGATTAAAGCCTAATTGTCTCATCTGCTGGCCCAAGTGACATTTTCTAAGTAGCAAGTTAGAGATCTACATTTTATTATTTTTATCCAAAACCAAATCCAAACACAAGATGAAAGGTTCATTTAAAACCTTCATTTTTCATAACTGGTGTTTTCTAAAATTTCTTTTTATCTTAAGAAAAAGGATTAATTACAGGAAGATTAATCTCAAGGAAAAACAGCAATTACAGTTTTCTTAGTTTGAAGACTTTCTCAATTCTAATTCTCCCTCTTTCCTAACTGAACACAATATTGTTGTATCCAGGAAGATACATAAGAAAAGTGGGTAATAACATTGACTAAGATGCTGCATAAACATTGTTTAAAAGAAACTTATATAAGGTATCTTAGCAGTTATACTCCTTTGGAAAACAAAAACTTAAATTATCACAAAGATTAGTGTCATCTGAAGTGTCATATTTCTACGTAGTGTAAATGAGCCTATCCAAAATACAAAATTAATAAGCAGTAACTTTTTTAGCCTACCTTATGTCTTCCACTCCTGCGTCAACTAGAGAAATCAGAAATGCTGAGAGAGCAGGGTTTGAGAGGGCTGTGAGTGTAGACCCCAAAGCAAGCAGAGTTATGCAACTTATCGGTAAACAAATCATTGGACTTTACTGATTCCAACTTCCTCCTCCCTCCCCCCTAACCATTAGCAGCTCATTTGAACTGAACCAGATATTTTCTTTGTAGCTCTTTCTGCATCTGGAAATCTACAGCTAAGTTATACCTGGATGTGTATAGCATATACAACAGGTTACCTTAACTAGTTCAAGGTCAGATTTTATTCAAGGCACATTTTAAGGCAGGATTTTAGCTGCTTTCCACTGTGCAAGAAGCACAACACAAAGTTCTACATCTGGCAAAAACCAGGGTAACCATATTTCCAGTTCCAAAAAAGAGGATGCCTGTCGAGGGAATATCTTACTTCCAACCCACAGTCCCCTGGCCCTGCCAGTGCCCCTCACTCCCAACCTGCAGCCCCACATCCCTAGTGCTACCCATCACTCCTGACCTGCACACCCCGGCCCTGCCACTGCCCCTCCCTCCCAATCCATAGTCCCTTGCCTCCCTGGGCTATGCTGGTGCCCCTCAGTCCCAACTCACAGCCCCCCATCCCTGCAGCTGCCCCTCACAGCTGACCCTCAGACCCCTGTCCTGACAGTGCCCCTCACTCTCTACCCACAGTCCTCTACCCCCTGGGCCAAGTGGTGCCTCTCACTTCCAACCTGCAGCCCCCTGGTACTGCCAGTGCCCCGCACTCCTGACCCACAGCCCCCCACACCTCCATTGCCCCTCACTTCCAAGCCATAGCCCCCCCTAGCCCTGCCAGAGGGGGCCTCCAGCTGCGCCTGTGGTGGCTGCGGCACATACAGGTGGTGGTGGAGTGAGTCTGGCCCTGGTGCAGGCTGGAGGAGGGAGGAGGAGATGCCTGTAGCACCCCCCACCTCAGGCTGGAGCTCCTGCACCATGCCAGGCAGTCTGGCTATGCCCTCCCCGGGCAGCATCTCCCAGGTGCCCCGCCCCTGTAAGCATGGGCACCGGCCCCTGGTGCCACTAGCCCAGCCGTGCAGCTCCCCACTGCCCCTGCTGAAAGGCCAGGCACCTTCCCCCTGCCCCGTGCCCTGCCGCAGTCCTCGTGCCTAGACACCATCCCCTAGCACTGGCAGGCAGCTGCCACCCCACTCACACACCTATCCCCTCCACACACACACACACCCCCGACAGTCCCCAGGCCCTGGCCCTCCAACCCCTCCTCTCCATAAACTTACCTGCATCCAGCAGCTGAGGCTGCTCCCACCACCCTTCCTGGCTGTGTGCCGCCCACATGTGTGTGCACACACACTCACACATGGTGCTCCCTGCCTCCAGTTGCCCTTCTCCTGCTCCCACTAGCAGAGCAGAGCAAAATACTGGACATTTGTTCAAATTTCAAAAAGCCCCCCAGAAGGAGATCGGAGGACACAAAAAAAGAACATGTCCAGGAAAACCTGGACGTATGATAACCCCAGGCAAAACCAAATAAAACATCATACCTCTGCTGAGTGCAGTGGTTCTTCTGGCACATGCACAGGCTACTAGATAGGACACGTGGCTAGAAAAAAACAGCAGGACCAAAGAATCTCTGACCCCAAGTAACCCCTTTGAAGTCCAGCTTAACAGTGCAGCCTTTAGATGGCTTGGACCTAGCCAAAGTGATTGAAGACAGCATAGAAGGAAATTTCTCTCCCAGGTTTTGCTGTACACTAGTTGGATAAAACTGAGGGTTTGGGTCTTCCTAAATACTAAATGAGGGGAAAAAATTAGAATCACAAAAAAAAGGGCTGAAAGGGACCTCAAGATGTCACTCCCTCTGCCTTGAGGCAGGATAAATATACCTACGCCTTCCCTGACAGATGTTATGCCAAACTGTTCTGAAAACCTCTGATGAAGTTTCTAGACAAACTAGGTAGCCAGCTTGCTCAAATGCTTCTCTTCCCACAAAGCTGGAAAGTTTTTCTTAACACTTAACCTAAATCTTCTTTGCTGAAAACTGAAATAATTTCTTCTTGACCTACTAAAAAATAATCCATACTATATTTACTCAAATCAAAGACAAGGTTCTTCCCTCCATTTAACATGAAAGGAAAACGTCCCTCATCTTGGATTCAAGTGCAAGGGAGACTCCAAGGGAATGGGGGTGGGCAGGCAGCTGCTGCATCTCCAACTCCTTCCCCAATCTAGGTTTAGAGCCAGAATCAGAGCTGACTCTTCTTCCCCCAACACTGCCGCCTCTGCCCCCCTGCCTACCTAACCCTCCGCCTCTGTTCCCCCCCGCTGCCTAGCCCCTCTCCCCACTCACTGCCACCACTTACTCTCCAACTCCAGCCCCAGCTCCAGCTCTGGCCTTGTTCTGGCCCAGGGCACAGAGCATGTGGTAGCTCTAGCACCTGTCCAGCTATAGCAAAACCAGAACTGCTGCCATCACAACCACTGCTGGTCTATGGAGTGACTATATTCTCCATACCCTGGTCCAGAGCAGGGTCAGAGCCAAGGCCAGAGCAGGAGGGTAAGTAGCAGCAGGGAGGCAGGTATGGGGAGACAGAGGTGTCAGAGATGGGGAGGCAGTGGAGGCCAGATAAGGCAGGGAAAGGCTGCAGGGGGCCAAGTAGAAGGGGAGGAAATGGTAGGGGGAGCAGGTGCCAGAGGTGCAGGCACTGCAGGGAGGGGCACAGGCATGGGGGAGAAAGCAGAAGAGTGGGCAAGTGGCAGGGGGCAGGCACCAGGGGGAGAGGTGCTGGGAAGCACAGGCACAGGAGTCAGGCAGCAATAGAGGCAAGGGGGGGAAAAAGGGGGCCAGGGGCAGGGGCCAAGCCACTTGACTTCCCTGCCACCTGCCCCCCACTGCCTGCTCCCATGCTGCTGCTTGCTCTGCTGCAGTGTGGGGTGGGGGAAGCTAATTTAAGATGACCCTCCAATAACTAGATTCTACACATGGAAAATTATAACAAATAATTATAACAAATTTATAATGTTTCCATGTATAGAATCTTATTATTGTGGGGTTGTCTTAAATTCAAAGTTGTCTTGTAGTTGGGTAAATACAATAAATGCCCTCTTTTGAATATTAGACACTTTTAACCATGTCGCCTCAGTCTTCTCTCTTCCAAACTTATGAAATCTAGTTCCCTGAGTTTTCTCAACCTTTTGTCACTCAGTGACTGTCCTCTGGATTCTCTCCAGTTAGTCTATATCTTACTTATAGTATGGTGACCTAAACTGGACAGAGTACTCTATTAGCCTAACTGAGGGGAGGTGACCCTCAGCAACCCTGGGCACCACCTTAGAGAGGGGGAAGTGCAAAAAATAGTCATTGCTAGATGGCAGCTAGCTGCACTGCTGCCACCAGTAGCACAGCAGCTGGCATTCCCCAAAAGCTGAAGCTGCCTAAAGCACAGAGCTGCCCTGTTACACCCCTGGAGTTCTCCATGTGAGCCTTCACCAGCACCAACTAGAGTGGAATAATTGATACATTAATTCATCCCAAAAAAGAGGTTGCCTGTTTTGTAACAGCACTGTATCCTGAGCCATAGCCAGTTTTTAGTCCACTGTTCCCCAAAATCCCTGTCTTGAAGTACCACTGCCTATACGGTTATTCCCTCTATTATATTTGTGCAGTTGAATTCTCCTAAGTGCAGGACGCTGCACTTGTCTTTACCAAATTTCATCTTGTTGATTTAAGATTTCCTCTCCCATTTGTCAAGATCAATTTGAATTCTCACCCTGCCCCCCAAAGACTTTGCACCTCTACTTCCCTGTTAAAGAGACTCTGGCCTGGGATGGACCCTTACATGACCTTACATGAAA